TGTCAACCAAGTCAGCGAGCCTGACAACCCGATCCCGTTAGTCACCTCTCACGACAAGCATGGGTTACATGAAGATCAATTCTAACCCAGATCTTCACGGGTCTCCAGATCAGTAACACATTGGATGGTTAGCTCGTTAATTAATACTACCTACAGAGAACTGATGTAAAGATTTTAAGACACCCTTCCTACTATAATCACAGCTTGTTCACAGAAGCAAAAGTAAAAACCGCAATCGTAATTTAGAGAATTTAGATGGCGTATTTAACATAGGTTTCTTCGGCCTAAAATCATACCCAAAATCAATAACGCGGATTCAATGAACAATTACCTAATTTCATTTGAAGTTTTTGAAGGGAAGTGGTTCAATCATGTCTTGAGTCTAAACGTTCTGTGCCATTTACCTAGACTTAGCCTGGGACTTATAGTATCGGAAGATAGCATGAATGAAAGAACGTAATAGAAGTGTATTAAATTTTATTGATACTCACCGACTTGATGTAACATTTATTCGGGTCCTTGTTATTTATTTGCCAGTAGCGCGATCAGAATTCAAACCCAAGGTCAAAGCCGCGACACGGTAAAGGGACGCAACTCCGTGAACCACGTGTCCTCAGAGCAATCTTACTGAAATATACATGGCTGTTTAATATCATGGAAGCCAAATAAGTTGTCCCTTATTCAGAGCACCCCACCCATTCCGTTTGTAATGTACGTGTGACATTTGTTGTATGAATACATCCACGATTGATGTATTGGTCAGTACGAAGGCGATATGTGTGCAGCATTGATTAGCATTTACCTATTGGGAAGCCATTCGTTCCCCACTTATTGACTATGGCTTCTGTTATTCGTTTACGAGGTATTGAATATTCATGTCACAGCTATTTTAGTATTTGCAACAGGTACCTCTTCGATTATTTACAGAGCTTTGTGCAGAAATGGTCCCACGACACCACTGTTTCAATACCCGTGGATCGTAACGCGCCGTGAATTTCTCGCTGGTCGATCCAATTACCCGAAAGTTCAGGCGCTTTGTATGTTTAGAGTGAATCGAAAGCTACATCCGGATAATTACGTACACAAAGTTAACCTGGAACACAACAGACTACACATCAGGGTGGTTCCATAGCAGTGAGCACTGTCTGTATATCAATATATCTAGTAGGTCTAATGCCATGTATTTGCTTGATCACAAGATCTCAAGAAACATTACAGAACATTCACTACTGTGGACTATTGAGTGACGTCTTGTACCTATGTTACTACCAATAGATAAAATGGCATGAAGATAGCCATAGTTTCCTGTGTAATAAAGGCAATGTACTCACATATTATTAAAAGTGTAGGACAGTTTTCAATGATTCTCACCATTCCAAGCAGCACTTAACCATACCAATTTAACTGTACACTTAGTCATGCCAATAAACATGTAACGCTTAATAATACCTGTGAACATGTTTAACTTAGTACTACCTGTGCACATGTTCAACTTAGTACTACCTGTGGATATGTCAAACTTAGTAATACCCGTAGTCATGTCACACTCAGTAATACCCGTAGTCATGTAAGACTTAGTAATACCCGTGGTCATGTCACACTTAGTAATACCCGTTGACATGTAAGACTTAGTACTACCCGTGGAAATGTCATACTTAGTAGTACCCGTGGAAATGTCATACTTAGTAGTACCCGTGGAAATGTCATACTTAGTAATACCCGTGGAAATGTCATACTTAGTAATACCCGTGGAAATGTCATACTTAGTAGTACCCGTGGAAATGTCATACTTAGTAGTACCCGTGGAAATGTCATACTTAGTAGTACCCGTGGAAATGTCATACTTAGTAATACCTGTGGAAATGTCATACTTAGTAATACCTGTGAACATGTAAGACTTAGTAATACCCGTGGACATGTCATACTTAGTAATACCCGTGGACATGTAAGACTTAGTAATACCCGTGGAAATGTCATACTTAGTAGTACCCGTGGAAATGTCATACTTAGTAGTACCCGTGGAAATGTCATACTTAGTAGTACCCGTGGAAATGTCATACTTAGTAGTACCCGTGGAAATGTCATACTTAGTAATACCCGTGGACATGTCACACTTAGTAATACCTGTGAAATGTAAGACTTAGTAATACCTGTGAACATGTAAGACTCAGTAATACCTGTGAACATGTAAGACTTAGCAATACCTGTGAACATGTAAGACTCAGTAATACCTGTGAACATGTAAGACTCAGTAATACCTGTGAACATGTAAGACTTAGTAATACCTGTGAACATGTAAGACTCAGTAATACCTGTGAACATGTAAGACTCAGTAATACCTGTGAACATGTAAGACTTAGTAATACCTGTGGGCACGTCACCACGAAGACATGGATTTGTCAACCAGCTCACACACAACTTGGTAACTGACACTTTCCATATTTGACATTATGTAATCATACTTCAAGCAGCCTGAGCCCCACTTATCGAATGTTTTAAAATGAATACCACTTCAGGGGTGGAAATAACTTTAAAATCGCTAGTGTACTCCGGAACAGTGGCACATGTAAAATCAATTGCCCTGATAAGTTTTGTCCGTTTTCTTGTTGATTTTTTAAAATAAACAACATAATTAACATTGGAAAGACAACTGGACACCGGTACAGTATGATATACAAATTTGCTTGCCCGACAGAAAAAAACCACTGGACTCGGACGTCGGGTGATGGGCATAGGGCTATTTCCACCCCTGCACTTATAGTACGTTACGCAATCTATAAGTTTTCATTTCGTGCTGTTGTAGTGTTTGAAAGCCTTGCTAGGATATGCAGACCTCACTCAATCAAGTTTCTTTTGTGTTTTGATTTGACAAAAAGCCCAATTTTTGTAACTCAAAGGGTCGATCATTATGAATAATGAAGCAGATCCCCGTGCTGAAAGGGATATAGAAGCATACTCTCAAGCTAAAATCTATAAATTTGCTAAAGTAGCTCTTAACGACATTCAATAACATAACTCGATAACAGGTAATATCACTTGTTTGCATGTGGTTTGTGTATACACTGTTCTCGGTCTCAGGTCCTGCAGTACGCTTCAGTTTCCAGTTGCTGTGGTAAACAGCTTATTAACTATCATAATATGAAACATATACTCTCCAAAAAAAGAAACGCATATAGGATTTTCAACTGTATTTTTATGTTTATTTTGAAACAGCTTGTAGGCTTTATGAGTCAATGAAATATAGTGAATTGCACACTGGGAATGCAGACTTATCTGTCTTTGGCACCAACTCGAGGAAAGTCAGTTTGAGTGTCACATGGAGACGTGTGTCGGCGCTGAAGTCAATACCTCGTGTGACCACCGTGGGCATCCAGAACTGCACGGCATCGCCTCGGCAACGAACGAATAAGTCTCAGAATCTCGTGTTGCCCAATCGCAGCCAACTCTGCCTGTAGTGCCTGTGCGAGTTGCTGAAGTGTCTGGGGCTGAGGGTTACGGCGTCGCACCCGTCTGTCCAGGGCATCCCACAGATGTTCGATCGGGTTTAAGTCCGGTGATCTTGAGGGCCAGGGGAGCACATTGATGTTGTGGTTCTGGAGGAAGTCTCTAGTGTGACGGCAGGTGATCTCCCGCCACATCATAACACCGCCCCGGCCGAATCTGTCCACCTGGGGAATGCAAGCGTACACCCGCATTCTTCCATCGCGTCGTTCCAATAGAAATCGTGATTCATCACTGAACCAGATTCTACGCCAATTCGGTAGGTTCCAGGCCTGAACGTTGGTGCACCATTGAACTCGATGTCGACGATGTTGTTGTCGAAGCACAGGGCCAAAATAAGGTCTTCTGGCACGTAAACCAGCCTCTCTCAACCTGTTCCTGACGGTCTGTGCAGAAAGCCTCCTCAATCCGGGTATTTGTCGAGCGGTACTGGTCGCCGTAGATGTTCGATGACGCAGGTGATGCACCCGGATGTAGCGATCCTGCGCCGCAGTGGTCGCTCGAGGTCGCCCACTACGAGGGGCATCTGCTACCGCATTCTGCCGGCGATATCTCTCCCAGAGCCGTGAAATGGTGCTTTGGTGAACATTCATGCGTCGGGCAACTGCACGTTGAGACTGACCAGCTTCAAGCAAACCAATGGCGATATGACGGTTGACTTCACTTAGACGTGTCATTTTGCGTTCGTCAACAATATTCTAAATACAGTGAATAATCGACAGACAGCGATCAACCTTTTATACCCATCATTGAGACTATCTGATCCCCAACTTTCACGTGCATTGCATGTAAATTGTGTATTCTGTGACACTACACGCCAAAATTGAAGATCATGCTGTTAAATACGGGTATTTTACGGATGGTGCGTTTTGTTGTGATGTTTCAAAACATAAACACCATAGGACTCATAGGACCCCCTACAATTTTTTTAATTGGAGAGGGGGGGGGGGTGGGTGGGGGGTGACAACCATTATGGGCATGAGTATATATTACTGTCATATAACGAAGCCGTTGTCACGACCAGAACAAACTTTATTCTTCGTAACAGTAACGGCATACACTGTTGGCCATGTGCTTTGGCACACATCCCATAATGATCGTGAACAAGGGGGAATAACTCTTGAATGGATTACCACTTTAAAATAAGCAATACTGACAATTACCATGTTATATGAACATATAACGCACGTGTCATGGTACAGACTTTGGAGATGGAGGCACCAGTGACCCTGTCGTCTAAGACGTCATTGTGTCAGAGTTGTGTCCTTTAGTAATGCCGGTATTTGAATTTCTGTTCTCCCTGATCATTGTTCCGGGTTTGTCAGCCGGTTTCAGCAGCGTGGTAAACGTTTCAGAAATGCACCTCGGACTTTCCACTCGCTCGTTCCCTCTTTGGGGATGCCTTTACAATGTGTTTCTAAAACAAACAGTCTTTTAAATTGCATTGCGCGAAATCCACAATCTTGTATTTGTAATGGTAATAATTTCTTATCTTTTAGGTCAAGACGGGGTTCAGTAGGGATGCCATGTAACCGGAAGTGACGTTGTTATGGGTTGCGAGAACAGCAAACCCACAGTGGTGCCAAATGCGCATGTCGAACCGGATCCGGAAGTTGTTACAACTGACTTCAGTGATACACAAATAGACACCATCAGAAGCACGTGGCCAGTATTATCACGTGATGTCATCAGAATAGGAGCGGAAATATTCGTCCGTATCTTTATCGACGCACCGGGTGTGAAGAAATTATTCGAAAAATTCAGGTAATGTGTTCAATAATTGAAACACTCTAAATCCCATGAAAGTATATAATATATAAGCACTCAGTGAGTGTGTCATTGGAAAATGATTAGAAGTTACGTATCCAGTGTTGCCTCGTCACGTCGAAGATCCGGGTTCGATTCACAACGTTGTAACTAGCGAGTATTCTTGCATCATCACTGCGGGGGAAAAACAGAAATTAGCTTCACTCATTGTACCCGTGTTTGGAATCAAACCAGGGTCTTCGACGTGACGAGCGAACGCTTTAACCACTAGGCTACCCCACCGCCCCGTTGTAACACAGGGAATTGACACATTTGGACATCAAAACATTCTGGGTTCACTCGTAGAAATTGAGAATATAGACCATTCTCCCAAAACAAAAGTTTCCACGTGCCTAAATCGTAGTTGTTTTCACCAGTCTACCCTTGTTGGTACTATTGCCCCTTGAAGAAAAACGCCATGTCACTGATATTAGTACATTTCCCAGAGTACATACGGTGTACCTTCGGGTATAGAAACAGTCAACTCTTCTGAAACACTGGCACTGACGACATTCGTTAACTAGTTCAAAAGCAATCAGAATTGGAAAAAAAACACCCATTATCTTGTTTAACTCCACTGAATACTTCTGAAACAATCAATATCCCTTAACAACGAGTAAATGTGTAAGACATGAAGATAACAGCGGTATTTAAGACTACAGAAATCAATGGCCTTGTAGTTTCAAAGAATCAAACGTAATTAGGAATACGGGTTTTTCACAGGTTAGCATCTTGATTACGCGTGTCACATGCCAGACAGTCGATTAAAATGTACAACAGTATAACCCAATCGACTTTACGGGAAACGTTTTTTGGTTGAAGTTCTATCATCGAATGGCCTAGTCACGATCCCTGTGGGAAATTCAGACATTTTTCTATTTTCTTCTATTTCTTCGTCGCAAAACCATAAGGCTAAAATCTAGATTAACTTGCAAAATCTTTTACAAACGTTTCATAAATGTATAGTCAGTCGGGTGATATTTGTCTATCTAGGCGGTGGGGCAGCCTTGTGATTGAAGCGGGTGTAAAGCTCTACTCACTCACTATCTATTTATCTTTCCAACTGTACTAGCCACATAAAGAAACTGTGCATTGTCAAAATATTATCCCAGTTGATAAGTACGATAACAATGTCAAAGGTACATATAAACTTTAATGGAGGGATCATGAGACCATAACAAGTCCGGAGAATTTCAATTGAAAAGTAAATCACAGTCCACAAGCGGGACAGGGGGTCAAACGACCATGTCACAAGCTCAATAACGGGTATGTCCACCATCGGCATTGAGAACAGCAGTGCATCGACGACGCATAGAGCCTATCAAACGTGCAAGGAAGGGTTGTGGGATGTCACGCCAGATCCTCTCAAGTTCTGTTGCAAGGTCAAGGACGTTATCTGGCGGATGAGGAAGACGGCGTAGACGTCGATCCATCTCGTCCCAAACATGCTCTATCGGAGAGAGATCCGGTGAATTTGCAGGATCAGCGTTGTGGTGTTGCAAGAAATCCATAGCAACCCTTGCCGTATGAGGGCGGGCATTGTCCTGTTGGAATGTTAACCCAGGGCCATGACTTTGCAGAAAAGGAATTGCCACAGGTCGAAGAATCTGATCCCTGTAGCCCACACCAATTAAGTTGCCCTGAACAATCACCAAAGGAGTTCTTTGGCGTGCTGTTAAATCCACCCCAAATTATCACGGAACCGCCACCAAAGCGATTCCTCTCCAAGACACAGGTCTGTGCATAACGTTCTCCAACGCGTCTATAGGCATGTTGACGTCCATCACTATGGGAAATGTTAAACCTGGACTCATCTGTAAAAACATTTTTTCCACCAAAACAAGGGTCTGCGGACATGATTTCGGCACCACATTCGGCGAGCTTGTCGATGACTTTGTGTCAGGGTAGGCCGTATGGCGGGACGTCGTGGTCTGATCCCGTGATGATGTAAACGTTGTCGAACTGTGTTGGGGTGGATACGGCGAAGTCCTGGGATGGTTCGGGCAGTCATCACTGCAGTCTGAAACCTGTGGCGAAGATGGGTCACCCTTATCCATCTGTCCTGTCTTGGCGTTGTTACACGTGAAGGTCCAGAACGTGGCCGATCGATGACGTCATTTGTGTTCTGGTAGCGTCTCACCAGTGCAGAAATGGTGTTCCGGTGGCAGTGGAAATGTGCAGCCACTTGTCGTTGAGACATTCCCCCACGGACCATCCCAATGGCCTCATGACGTTGTGCAGACGTGAGCCTTGGCATGCTATGCGTTTCAATAGCCGTTTAATTTTTTGAACGATCGCAAGGGCAGGGGTTGAGCTTTCCAAAGTGACAGTATTGTGTGGCATTCATTTGCTCTGTTTCTCTTTCCCGGAATGCACGTGCAACAACGTATTGCGCGTCTCAAGGACGAACCCACTGACGTCACGGCACGTGCATGCATGTTGGATACATGTCACTAATCTCTGAGTTTAAATCCTTATGTGTCTACACAGGTTTGATAAATTTAGATTGTAAATATTTGTATGCACTGTTTCTTTATGTGCCTAGTATATGAATCCGCCAGGCACACACCCCACCTTAAATTAGTATACTGAAGCTGGTGGATGCCACGAGGGTTAATAATAGCACGACACGGCCACCGAGCACTATGTATTTAAGACCGTATCAATTTCATAACGCACGTAATGTTATCTGTTTCATTGATTTCGCAACCAAACCAGAGTAATTTGATAAAACCAAATACTTACCCCATAACCAGTATTTGCCTTCCAAGATCGTATCACATTTGCTTTATCAGAGATTCAATATTGTAATCGTCTACCAACAACGCGAACATAAAAGACTGCAAACAGTGCTGTGTTGGACACACGTGTTTCAGCTTTATCCTCCACGCTGGCATCCTTAACAGACAGTTTCTATCGTAATTATTTTGTGTGCAAAGAACCCGTGATAAATTGTTAAAACAGTTATTACTTGTTAGCCTACGCAATGTTGCATTAATTGTCCTTAATCAGGGCTTTGATGTAATTATCACCGGCCATCTGAAGGCATACATGAAACTGCTCGTTGATGATTTAGTTCTCCTTGATGTCCATACCGATGGTCCAAATGATTGTGTATGACTTTCTTCCGTGATTCGTGAGTAACACAGACAGAGTGGTAAGGTATAGAGAGCCAGGGCTGTAAGTGACAGTGACCAAGTGTGACGAATGGCCTCCTGGGGTATTGCGTTACAGGTATAGCCAGTGCCGGTGTACTGTACTGAACTTTGGTGAGGCTATGCAGTGCAAGTAAGGCCGAGATTAACTCTTTCATGCATAATCACACAAAACACTTGGTTTGGTTGTTGTATAACGCCACAATCCAGGGATCAGCAGCATGAGCATCGATCTATGCTATTGGGATACGATGACATATGTCAACCAAGTCAGCGAGCCTGACCACCCGATCCCGTTAGTCGCCTCTTACTACAAGACAGTGGAATTGTGTATTGGGCAAGTTACGTCGCCGTCTGCACCTGCTCCTTCCAGGAACTGCTCTTGTAACTTCCGTTCATCGATGCCAATATGTGCAGTGTGTTTACCAAAGGATGGGTTATTCTAAACTGCCATGGCCATGGCTACAAATAAGTTACCGGGTATGAGAAAATGGTGTGAATTTTAATATCGTATTCAAAAAATGTTTTTCAAAAGTTACTGCTTGTTTGTTGTTAAACGCCGTTCTCAGCAATATTCCGGCGGCGGTCTGTAAATAATCGAGTCTGGACCAGACAATCCAGTGTTCAACAGCATGAACATCAATCTACGCAATTGGGATACGATAACATTCGTCAACCAAGTCAGCGAACATGACCGTTAGTAGCCTCATACGACAAGCGTGGGCTGCTGGAGACCAGGGGCTCCTTTCACGAAGCAACCTTTACTAAGGTCGGCCTTATCTCCCATTCTTTAACATTGAGCTAAGGTTACCTTAGTGACTTACGATCACCTTAGCGCTTTGTGAAAGGAGGCCCAGTTCTAACCCGGTTCTTCACGGGTATGAAGTGGTTGCTATTGCCTGCGATGGAAATAAATATCTTGAACTTCGATCATTTTAAGATTGATACCATTACCCCCGTGTCGTTCAGAATATAAATGTATATCTATCATATTGTAGAAACATTAAGGCCACTTATCTACGCTACGGTCACACTGGTGTTTGAAACTACGTATAATTACCGACTTGCCGAGTTGTTACGGAATGCAGCGATAGAATCACCCGCCCTCACTTTCAGCAACTGGGCAGGATCAGAAGAGTGTCGACCCCAAAACACTACGACGTTGAATAATTGATCCTTAAAGACTAGCTGCAAATTTACTTTTTCCTGGATAAAAATAACTGATGTAAGCCAGCTTTACGGCTTTTGGCAGGAACTCGTAACAAGGATCGCGTGTCTCGGTATATGAAACCAGCCTATAACAGCCACCAGACTGTAAATATTTAATGACCTGGACTGGGCGTAATGCATTGCGTGCTCCGAATGTAGTATCTCTGAGGGGAAGTGATGGAGAGATGTTGCTGGAAGTTAAAAGGGAACTGCGTTCAGCCTTACAAAGTTTCAATAAAATCCCACAAACGTCATCATTTTCAAAATGTATGTTTATTAAACTAACTGTTAATCATTATCCATATGTGCTCTTTCTACAGAACTAGGGACCCGTGAAGATCTGGGTTACAATTAGTCTGCACCAGCCCTTGGTTGTCGTAAGAGATGACTAACGGGATCTGGTGGGCAGGCTCGCTGACATCCTATCCCAACGGCGTTAACCGATGCTCATGCTGTTGATCACAGGGTTGTCTGGTCCTGACTCGATTATTTACAGATCGCCCCCATATAGCTGTGATATTGCTGAGTGTGGCGTTAAAGAACAACTAAACCAAACAGAAGCAGGTTAGACATTGTTATCAGCGCCGCTTCAAGCAATATTCTAACAATATCACGGCGGAAGAGACCAGGAATGACCCACTGGAGGTGAACACCAGACTGGGGGAAATTAATGACAACATTTTCTTTTATACGCACAATAGTTTTGGTTGTTTGTTTTTTTGTTCGGTTTCGTTATATGCCAAGTCCTTCTGTTCTTACATAAACGTTGTACACAAGGGATCGAAACTAAGCTGACAGACAAAATAAGTGAACACCAATTGTTTGATGGAGGATAGAGAAGAGTGAGTGAGTTTAGTTTTACGCCGCTTTTAGCAATATTCCGGCAATATCACGTCGGGGGGGCACCAGAAATGGGCTTCACATATTGTACCCATATGGGGAATCGAACCCGGGTCTTCGGCGTGACGAGCGAACACTTTAACCACTAGGCTATCCCACCGCCCGGATAGAGATGAACACTGTATGATGATGTATCATATGCGAGTATCTTAGATGTGTTTTTGTCACTGAAGTGTTTCAGCGATTGTTTTCAGTCTAGTAATTGTTTCCTAATATTCACTTTTTAATGTCAAATTGTCAAATGTGTACTTTCGCCCGACAAATTATATGGGATCGACGTAATGCAGCTTCAGTATGCATAGGCAGTGTAGGACAGAAAGGCATCATGATTTGAATTCGTCACTCACTATATCAGGTTGTGTTTGTTTGCTGGTTTGTACACATGTTAGCAAAGGACACGCTCAACCGGGTATCATCATGAATCATGGTTTGATAGTGAATCGTATTGTTATCGTATGGGTGAAATCGTATATTGGATCTCTTGTTACTATGGAAAGGGTTCGGTCGCTTTTAATTATGGCGAAGACTCACTGTTGGGAGGGCAGAAGGCCGTTGGCTGCTTCATACCCAAATGTGTTACTTTTTGATACCCTGCCCGGCGCTCGGCATTATAGGGATAAAGCAGGGTCTTATCGACTTGGGCATTAGTATCCTGCCAGCCTCCCTCCTGTCGTGAATTCGTCGTCGTTTTAGATATTTACGAACTGATGACATGAGCATTGGGTCGAACACAACTTGTTTAATCAAGTGACGGTACAAGAAGGACCATGATGCTTTTGGTCAATGACGTCATGAGACTTCCGGTAACAATGTACTATTAGGAAACAACTAATTATTGATGTAGATACATATTACATAACACGCCCTCCAACCCCCCTCCCTTCATTCACTCGCACTCTCACACTCACACTGTCCCTCCCCCTCTCTCTCTCCATCTTATATAAACTTATGATCAATATGATCGGGGGAAGAAAGTTAATGATATGGTCGGCTAGACAGTATCGCCAGTCAATAAATAGCAAGAACGCCTAACTGTAAATTACACAATTTTCTTGCAGTGTGTACAAGGTGGATGATCTTCGGAAGAACCCTCAGTTCCGGGATCATGCCGAGAAGTTTATGCAGGTCATTCAGAACATCGTGGACAACCTTGAGTGCCTCGCACCTGTCACCCAGCACGAGCTGATGGCACTCGGCGCCTCCCATGTGCTGTTCGACGGCTTCGACACCCACTACTTCAGCGTATACTCCAAGTGTATGCTGGAAGTATGGGAGCAGGAGCTGGGGGAAGAGTTCATTATGGAGGTGAGGGAGTGTTGGAAGGCAGTGTTTGAGTACCTGGTCACACAGATGACCGAGGGGTATGACATGTGTGTTCTAGAACAAAGGAAGGGCATCGCTACTATGCAAGACAATCAACACCGGAATAACAAAGTGCAGAAGGAATATGATTTTCTACCGGATGTGAACGCAACATAGGTGATCACGTGATTGTCAAACAATAGACGAGCGGGGACTGCGCATGCTCAAGTGATTCAATATGATGGAGGGTGTGTCTTTTCATATAAATGTTCATAAAGGCTCACACCTTGTCAAACAGCATACTGATGGGATGTAATGGGTCCTGTTGGAACAGAGAAGCCTGTCACAGCAACCTTGGATTAACGTGTAGCTATAAGATAGTTAACAACCTTGTTCTCTGACAAGATGCAGCTGAACGGACAACTAATGTAATGTATAAAGAAGTCGTCTGTTGGATCACCAAAACCTAATAAAATTAAAATGGTTAGTTGTACACAATATTCAATCCCTGGATTCGTCCCTGTTACAATAATAATCTGTGAGGCTCGAAATGTGTAAGTTGCAAATGTTACGTCATTCATATTTATTGACTGCTAAACTGTTTGATAGTCAAAACTAAAATGGTTAACATCGCATGGGTTCTTACTGTTCCCAACGACGTGATTACCGGGATGCTGTTCAAAGTGGAGGTACGCCCTAACTCAAACACTCACTCGCTGACACACTAGTGACGTCACCACTTCGGCGTGATGTGTACATGTTAGCCAGTAAATGCAGCAGCCAGTCACGACAAGTTGGTATAGCTGATATACTGAATATATCCTCATGGACAGTCACGACAAGTTGGTATATAGCTGATATACTGAATATATCCTCATGGACAGTCACGGCAAGTTGGTATAGCTGATATACTGAATATATCCTCATGGACAGTCACGACAAGTTGGTATAGCTGATATACTGAATATATCCTCATGGACAGTCACGGCAAGTTGGTATAGCTGATATACTGAATATATCCTCATGGACAGTCACGACAAGTTGGTATAGCTGATATACTGAATATATCCTCATGGACAGTCACGGCAAGTTGGTATATTATAGCTGATATACTGAATATATCCTCATGGACAGTCACGACAAGTTGGTATATTATAGCTGATATACTGAATATATCCTCATGGACAGTCACGACAAGTTGGTATATTATAGCTGATATACTGAATATATCCTCATGGACAGTCACGACAAGTTGGTATATTATAGCTGATATACTGAATATATCCTCATGGACAGTCACGACAAGTTGGTATAGCTGATATACTGAATATATCCTCATGGACAGTCACGGCAAGTTGGTATAGCTGATATACTGAATATATCCTCATGGACAGTCACGACAAGTTGGTATATTATAGCTGATATACTGAATATATCCTTGTGGACAGTCACGACAAGTTGGTATATTATAGCTGATATACTGAATATATCCTCATGGACAGTCACGACAAGTTGGTATATTATAGCTGATATACTGAATATATCCTCATGGACAGTCACGACAAGTTGGTATATTATAGCTGATATACTGAATATATCCTCATGGACAGTCACGACGAGTTGGTATATTATAGCTGATATACTGAATATATCCTCATGGACAGTCACGACAAGTTGGTATATTATAGCTGATATACTGAATATATCCTCATGGAATCACGACGAGTTGGTATATTATAGCTGATATACTGAATATATCCTTGTGGACAGTCACGACAAGTTGGTATATTATAGCTGATATACTGAATATATCCTCATGGACAGTCACGACAAGTTGGTATATTATAGCTGATATACTGAATATATCCTCATGGACAGTCACGACGAGTTGGTATATTATAGCTGATATACTGAATATATCCTTGTGGACAGTCACGACAAGTTGGTATATTATAGCTGATATACTGAATATATCCTTGTGGACTCTCCTGCATGTAGGTAACACTCAGTGGCACACATATTGACCGAGCGGAATTACTCTGTGTGTGTGCTTGTGCGCTCGCGCTATTTCCGCTCTGTCAATTTGTCTAGACAAAAGTAATAAATTCGGAAGCACATGGTGTTCGCTTACCTCTCTCTTCGTGGTTAATTTACACAACATATTTTGGTAGTAACAGAAGCTGCTTCTTGAAAAACGTTAATAAATGACAATGGTATTAGCGCAAAATAAATGTAAGATCTCGACTCAGATTGTTTCCTGCTTTATTTCATACAGAAAAGGCCAGTCACCGCCATGTCCCAGCAGTCTGTAGTAGATGCGTCCATACAGTAGTCTGTCATGACGTCACTAATAGACTACCCACGTGTCGCTTCCGTTACATAAACATTCGGGTGTTTAAACCCGTATGAGCATCTTCTAAAGTCCCTATGCAATTGTGTGCATCGTTGTGACTTAATCATGGCGACATATATGTTGTGCTAAACACAAGACCGTGTACCCATCCTAGCATTGCTATTGCCATTAAGGTACGAAACGGCACAGTTTTTATGTCTGTTAAGTGAAAATAAATATTTACACCTTTAGGTCTTGGGGAAATAAGACAAACTATAAATCGCAGAGCAGAACAAATAATAAATTGTGGAGCGAGTGTCAGAGAGCGAACATTGCTATGTGCAGCCTTAGAGGAAGTCATCGACAGATGCCCAAAAGCTGAATGACCTAAAGTAACACGTGACCTAACGTGAATCGCCTTTCTACGCACAACACCAGAGTTATAACAACCAGTTCGGAATTGCGTCCAAAAAACGGAAATGCTAAAAAGACAAGATTATACTTGCCTCTGTGTTAGAAGAGCAGTTCTTGAAATGAGCGTTCGAGGGATACCGTTAAAGTACGCGCACACACTGACTGCTACGTAAAATGGTGACTATAACTGAAGTTATATTCTTTCAGGTTGCACATGCATGTTGTATATATGTATAATATACTGTATATTTCTGTCTTTCCTTGTAATGTATGTGCATGTGTCCATGGTTTACTCAGCACGCTATCATACTGATACATCTATCTTCATACTGGTTAAGATGGAATGGTATTTAGCGTCGCCCGTACGTGACGACGTGCGTGCGCGCGCGCGTGCATACGTGCATACGTGAGTGAGTGCGTGCGTGCGTGCGTGTGTGTCATTTAGACCAGGAAAGCCTTTTTATGTCTGTAAAGGCCGATCGGAATATCATGCTCTGCAAATTGCCAGTCTTCGTACATGTGGTGCGGACCGTTGCTCATGATGTCTCTCACTGGTTTGTTTGATCCAGACTTGAACCTCGATACAGCTGGAATATTGCTGACTACGGCATTGAACAACATTTAGTCGCTGACGTATACTATTCACACTTTGCTAAGGATCAAATCATGGATTCAACAGAAAACTATGATGTGGGGTCAAATTTGGTTTAAATATCTAGGTTTATTGTAAGCATGGATCCTAGGTTTCAGTATGCCACTGCATCTTGTGGATCCCATTCCTGCTACTGACAGGTGTTGTGTACTTGTCAATGACTCGTTCCATGATTTGCAAAATGGTTGATTGGTGCCATGAAAACCATTTTTATGGTTACTCATGTATCAAGTACATGAGGTTAGATTAAAGCTACTGTTTACCTAAAGAGGGGTTACCATATTATTATTTATCCAGTTTTAAATGGATACAATTTCAAATTATGAATCTACGTTTAAGTAATGTTGTGAATTTTTGTGATCCTTAGCAAAGTGTGAGTAGTATATTAATGCATATTATGACTTGATATGTCGCATTTAATGAGCGACAAGACGAAGTCGGATGCTAACATGTTACACCATCCACATCAGAAGGTGCAGTACCATCCATATTTAAGGTATCAAGTATTCTGTGAAGTTTTCACTACAGGATCCAGTCCATATTAACAATGGTTAGAGGAAAAATATAGGTATGTCTATGTTTTCAGAAAAGATTTAAAGATCACTTTTTGTAAGCTGAAACCGGTAGCGTAGGTCTGTTCTATTACTTGGAACAGGATCTCTGCGTTAAAGAATAACAAAGGTTTATAGCCTGGACTTGATCTGTGGTGAGAAGAGGTACACAATACCTCCCAGGTCCCCGTCCCACAGAGCGATTTGAGCGCTAGGACTTCGTAACTTGAGGGAAGTCTTAAAGTTACGGGGGAGGTGGGGTAGCCTAGTGGTTAAAGCGTTCGCTCGTTACGCTGAGGACCCGGGTTCGATTTCCCACATGGGTACAATGTGTGAAGCCCATTTCTGGTGTCCCGTGATATTGCTGAAATATTGCTAAAAGCGGCGTAAAACTTAACTCACTCACTCACTTGCAGTTACGACAGTCTTAATGCTAACATCGCTTAAGACTCTAATTATCAGCCCTAACGAGTTTGGAATTGAGCACCAGGCAATGTAAGGCAATCCCTTAAGAACGAAGAATGTGGACGTCGAAGATATTAAAGTATCCTTGATATGAATATGCAAAGCATTGACATGTTTAAAATGTCATCTCCATTACTTCTGATGTTTTAATTAAGTTACAAATGCACAATTGTTCTTATAAAACTGCTATGATAGTTCTTGAACGTTTTTATTCTGTATATAACATCTTGACTGCACAGAATGGTCACTGGCCTTGTATTGCATCCAAAGCCTTGTAGCGTTTACAGTACAACGTGGCAAAGATACGTAAATGGGAACAGAAATGTCATTAAATACGTATGCTATTTAACGATATTTGATATGGTTTGTTTCCGAATCCATATTTAGTAAAATATATATAAATAGCATCTGCTTACAATGTGCAAGTGCGTCAGCTAAACTGAAGAACACCAGAATAGATATGTTTCCATGGTGATATTTCTTCTGCGAACGTTTGTGTGATTGAATTAAGCTTTATGATTTGGGATAAATATTCAGGCTAACGCTGAAGCCACATATTTCTTTGCTAATGTGTTCTAGGCACATATGTGGGGAAGTGATGTTTGAAATATCAATCCGTTTGTATAATATACTTAATCACATAGTCATAACAATGCTGTATATAAGCGTGTCAGCTGTACACGAAACCCCAACAGAAATACATACCCATGAAGAACCCGGTTAGAACTGGTCTTCAGCAACCCGTGCTTGTTGTTATAGGCGACTAACGGGATCGGGTGGCCAGGCTCGCTGACATGGTTGACACATGTCATCGTATCCTAATTGCGTGGATCGATGCTCATGACGTCAGTCTCTGGTCCACACTTATATTTACAGACCGCCATCATAAAGCTGGAACATTGCTGACTGTGGCATTAAACAAGCGGACAAATTGAAAATATAAGCTTAAAATGCCACAATGGGAGGATGTGTATCGTGCAGATTGTATTGTATATTTTGTCGGAAGTCACTTGCTCACATGGAATCCTAGTGATGAATGATTGCATCATTTGTGTAATTCTTTCCATTTTCTTGAGAACATTTCTAACCTTTTATACACACAAGATTTTGTTTTCTCAGTCGTAACCTTCCGGGACAAACCGACCGTTTGAAAAAGGTGGAGGAGAGGGTCATATATGACGAACGTGTCAAGTAGTGCTTCGTTAAAAAAGTCTTTACGAGATCGTTTCATCGTTAATATTTTTTAATTTGACTATGCTATAGATATTTACTGCTTTAATCAAATGGCGAATTTCATAACTGTAAATATGTATTTACGTCATTTGAATTATTTACTACACATGATACTTTGCCAAACATGTTTTTATTCTTTGTTAAACAGGTCTGTCCACACGGAGGACAAGTAACATGGGGTTTAAATTTATCATACTGGGCAGTTTTGTCAGAGACACGCAGTTGTCTCCCTTAGACCCTGTGATGTTTTTGATGCTCAAATGGTGGGATTGTTTGAACACATGTTGCCAAATTTTAGTTTCTTTATCATAATAAACTTTGTCTTGGTAACCGCCGGCGTTGTTGCTTTTGTTAAATACAATGACATATTGTACCTCTGAACATGAAACTATTCGACTGAGAGAAAAACCATGTGATGACCTAAGACAGCTTTCTGTACGGAGTTACTTCCCTTAGTCGTGCCATTATCTG